GAGGGGGGAGGGGGAGGGGGAGAAGAAAATGGGTGCTCATAATGAGTAGGATGGATGAAGATGGAGAAGAGGGAAGGGAGGGAGATGGGAAGGAATTACGAAATAGGGATTAGGATGAGTGAGTAGGGGTAGATGTTATAGAAGAACGTCTTGACAGGGATGGAATGGCGGCGGGTGAGAGGCGAAAGGAACTTTCGATGACGGGGTATTGGAGAGGGGAGATGGAAGGGTACTTGGATGTAACTCATAGGTGGTATACAATTCAGCTTCATCATATCTCTCTTGGGTCACTGATCACGCATCAAGACGATATCCATGTCTGACTTTGCGAACTACAACATTGAAGTCCAAAAACACACAATCTTCGATCTTCGATCTTAGGCTCGCAGAATCAAGTTCCCTTCTCTCACAAAAACTCTCATGATATGAGCAATGAATGTATTGAACACACGTATAGTACAACCATCGCACCCCACCCTCACAAAAGCCCCTGCTTCTGCAAATCATAATACACCTTCTCAGGCATAACATTCCCATTCCCATCCTCCATCTGCACCACGCTCCCCTCATTAATCTTATCCTTCTTCTTATCCCTGGTGATCTTATCCCACAACTTCTCCGCATCCGCAATATCGGTGATCTCGCGGAAGAGAGTGGTGTTGGTGATACCTAGACACTTCAACCCGTATATGTGACGCGCCTCGTTGAAATGCTTGTCGAATGCCCGACGACCCATGTAGACGTAGTTACCACAGATCTCGCAGCGAAACTCGACGCCGAGACCGTGGAGTTTGTAGAGCCAGAAGGGAATTGGCTTTCCGTCCCAGGCTAATGGCAGTTTCAGAGGGTTGTAGATCTTCTCATCACCATCCGATTCGCTGTCCGAGTCTCCGCCTTGAGGAGCAGTTGAACTTGATTCCGCGAAAATTGCATCCAACTCCATCTGGCGTTCTCGTTCAGTCATTCCTTGACGTCTCTCGACATTAACTCGCGTATCGCTGCGCTCCTGTGACATGGCAGCCGCAAGTCTCTTCACTCTGTATTCTCGATCCGCAATCGCTCGTTCTTTCAGACGCATGGTCGATGGACCTTTCCTCGCTGTGTCGTTCTCGTCCTCCCCAGTCTCCGCTTGTCGAGCTTTGCGCGCTTCAGCTGCTCTGATATGCTTTTTTCCTGTCAAATGAGCTTTGTGAACATTTTCATTCTTAAACTCCTTCTCGCAGTCAGGACACCAGATAATATCTCCTGCCGGCGCATTTGATGGTGCAGGAATTTCCAAAGCCCAACCTTTCACATCATTATCTTCCCACGCCTTCGCAAAGTCCTCGTCGAAACTGGCGAACAGTTTGTCGAGGTTCTCTAGGGGTCGCGTCCTTCTCATGAAACTCTCCAGATAGTCGGACAGCTGCCTCACGTAGCCAAAGTAGTGATCTGTTAATTTGTCGGCTCGTTTTACATTGCAAAAGGGGGGCGTAAAGGTGTCAAAGGCGTCGAGGTACTGTAGGTATGAGAGGCGTTTGATGCCGGGGAGATTTAGGTATTCTTCGTGGATGGTGGTAAGATCAAAGAATCTGCCGAAAGCTTCCTCTCCTGTAAACATATTATCTACTTCGGATATTGTTGGTTCGCCATCTGCCGGTGCCTTCTTGTACGCCCTTTCCAGATTCTCGACAGGTTCGTTGGGATATTTTTGGTGAAATGATTTAATGTCTGCTAGTTGACTGTAAAACTCCTTTAGAGGCTCACCCGTGGATATGGTTTGAATCTCTTTCGACCGTGATCCATCTGCATCCTTGTAAATATCGAGTAATCGCTTTGACTGGTCTTGAATTCGGTCGAGGAATCCTGCAATTTGATGATCTCGATTGAGCCTTTCGCGGACCTATAGATGTGTAAGCTGGGAATTATAACTAATCGCAAGGTTCCATACATGCCGAGGATCTTCTGCTACTCGATCACTGATAGCTTGCTCCAGACGTTCGAGATCCTCATGGAGGAATCTCTGCTCTTCTATAATCATTCTGCGGATGCTTCTGCCTCGACGTATTCTGAAATGTTAATCGTATGGGAGAAACTCGAGTTATTGCTTTCTTCTTTACGTCGTTAAGCAAGGTTACGGTCGTACGTTGAGTAAATTTACGACCGTTCGTACTGAGGATTGGCCGATCCGCAGCTAAGCTGTTGTCGCGAAATTTTGAGGCTCCCAGAATGCGCCGTCCAATCAAAGCGCTTCCCCCACAAAATCGCGACTCCACCAAAATTTATCCTGGCCTCCCTTCTGGACTCAAACCGCAGCCAAACCTCATTGCCAAACCTAGAACCAGAAAAGCATCTTCAACTACCACATTACAACTGCAAATATGGCAGACGGAATCGATCGCAAAGCTGATGAGCGCATGGAGTTCTCGACATCGAAAGATGTCACTGTCATTCCAACCTTTGATGATATGCACCTGAAGGGTAAGCAGCCTTCTACAAAATGCGAATTTAATACTGACATACAACAGAAACTCTTCTTCGAGGAGTCTACGCATACGGATATGAGTCCCCTTCAGCTGTTCAATCGCGTGCTATTGTACAAATCTGCAAAGGTCGCGATACTATTGCCCAGGCGCAATCCGGTACTGGTAAAACGGCTACCTTTTCCATCAGTATGCTTCAAGTCATCGACACCGCCGTTCGCGAAACCCAAGCGCTCGTGTTGTCACCCACTCGAGAACTCGCGACACAAATTCAATCGGTGGTTATGGGACTGGGAGATTACATGAATGTTCAATGTCATGCATGCATTGGTGGAACAAACGTTGGGGAGGATATTCGCAAGCTGGAGTATGGACAGCATATCGTCTCTGGTACCCCTGGACGAGTTGCGGATATGATTCGGCGTCGTAATCTTCGAACTCGGCATATCAAGATGTTGGTACTCGATGAAGCGGATGAACTGTTGAACCGCGGATTCAGAGAGCAGATTTACGATGTTTACCGATACCTTCCTCCAGCCACTCAGGTCGTGGTTGTTTCTGCTACTCTCCCTTACGATGTTCTGGATATGACAACCAAGTTTATGACGGACCCCGTCAGGATCCTGGTCAAGCGTGATGAATTGACGCTGGAAGGATTAAAGCAATATTTCATTGCAGTCGAGAAGGAGGAATGGAAGTTTGACACCGTCTGCGATCTCTACGATACTCTCACCATCACTCAAGCTGTCATCTTTTGCAATACTCGCCGGAAGGTCGACTGGTTGACCGATAAAATGCGAGAAGCCAATTTCACAGTATCATCAATGCACGGAGAGATGCCACAGAAGGAAAGAGATAGCATCATGCAAGATTTCCGTCAAGGCAACTCCAGGGTTCTGATATCCACAGACGTTTGGGCTCGTGGTATTGATGTCCAGCAAGTTTCTTTGGTTATCAACTATGATCTCCCTAGCAATCGTGAGAACTACATCCACCGCATCGGTAGATCTGGTAGATTTGGACGAAAAGGTGTTGCGATCAATTTTGTCACGAGCGAGGATGTGAGGATCTTGCGAGATATTGAGTGTAAGCTATGACAGTGGATCGGCAATTCTTGGGCTAACTTTTGGCAGTGTACTACTCTACTCAAATCGAAGAAATGCCAATGAACGTTGCAGATCTACTGGCATAAGTGCCATATGCAGATATTGCTGAGGTAGAATATGAATATCATGACCCATACAAGAAAAGGCGACGCCGTGGTAATCCAGGCGTATGTATTCCGTGGAGGAAAGGGCCATAGCCAATAAGTAAGATATCATGGTCCTGTGAATCCGGGAAAACCTGCTGACTGAGTCTGCTCTACCAATAGTGCCCCTCTGAGATTGGCTCCCCAAAAAAATACAAGATATCAACTGTTGCGGCAATTTAGGATTACTTATTTATTCAATACCATGTGGCAAAACTGTCCACACTTTTCAAGATTCCTCGGCTTACATCGGTGTATATTTCTGATATCCATATTCTTCGCGGCAAACTGGGATCTAATTGCTATGCATTCCCTGTAGTCGGCTTTGAGGTGATCTTCGAGTGTCCACATTGCTATCAATGAAACGAACTGCCTTTCTGGAGCTCTCTCCGCCACCTATCTATGACATGGGATATACATCTGGACAGGGGGAAAAAAAAGAGAAGCAAATGCACAACCAATCTGGGTCCAACCGCGAGTCGAACGCGGGGCCTCTCGCAAGTGAAATGTACTTAGAGTGTACCCTAAGCGAGAATCATACCTCTAGACCATTGGACCAAATGATTGGATAGCAAGCATAATCAGTTTGGGCTTATTGGCCTTTGTGTAGAGAATATCTAAAAAGCGATGCATGGTGGGACTTTTACCTAATCTAACCTTTCCAGGTGGATCTTCTGGAAAGTCGTGGCTGGAATCCTGCAGCTTTGTTCAATTTTGCAAAGGTAAACCATGCGTAGTTGTGTAGCAAAAGAGACATAAGATCCAAGTGAAAAAGAACATCCAGAGGATGAATGGTTTTGCTTTGATCTTCTTGATAACTTCGCAATATCTTTGGTGGTCGGTGAGAAATGTGGATATGTCCGAATTATTGCATTCTACCAGTCGAGCCATTCAACGTGTGCGGTACGAAGGTGAGGACCGATCAAATGAGGAAGTCGCATTGGATGATGTTACTGCAAGGAGTACCTACCTTCCACGTTGGTACTTGGGTACTTACCTCGCATGCTTCTCTTTGTCTTCTCTACATCTTCTTCCTATCTACATATCTTCCACGTGAATTGAGCACTATCCGTTCAAGCTCATGGACTAACCTTAAGTTCTATGGACCCAGTGCACGCGACTTCGCGATTTTATCCCAAGTTCGTCGCGTCTCCCAGTTTCGCCACATTTACCTTTGTCTGGGCTTGTCAACTCTGCGATCTCCCACGGCCATGACAGACAAATATGCGAAATGCATACTACGATAAAGGCAGCGGAACAGGCTGCCATCGATGGTGAAGCAGGAGATGAATGGGATACGCAGAATTGTCTGCTGCTGCAGTCCGAAGTTCTATCGGTACGTGTAGGGGTCTGCTCGCCTAGGTATGACCTGCAGCTGACATCGCGTTGTAGTCAAGTCCGCCACGCGAAGACTCGCCTGGTCGCGGATACCATTGTCCAACTTCTCTCAACGCGTTACATTATGCTCCGACGACCACACAGCTGATGACCACGAGTCCGATCAAGACACCGATTGAGCTGCTGCAAGACCAGGAGAATGAAGACCCGAAACCGTCCGCCATTGTAGTTATCCAGCGCAATTCGGAAGGGCAGCGACGTCGCTTCGATCTTGAAGGCAGAGAACTAGAGCGACCACACGTCGAGCGATTGCGGCAGAACATGGACGACGACCTCGCCCCCACCCAGAGAAGTTCCATGTCTCTTACGCAGGAAAACTCTGCCTCGGTGTATGCGGTCTACGCAGAGAGCAAAGTAACACAGAATCACTCGCGGAGCAAAGCGACTATAATTACAGACTCTACTCCTTGCACATATGGCGAAGATGACACAGGTTATATCGCGTTAGATTTAGGTCTAGTAGACCCTGTCAATCTACCTGCATCTCAACAATCGAGGGTCAGCGACGAACAGGACAGTGAGCTATCGCGGGAGGACGCAGATACAGATCCCATAGAAATGGAACCTCAAACTCCGGCTCCACCTGTCAATCCATTCGCGAATCGAGGAAGTGTTATGAGAGGCATTGACATGTTCGGCGCCACTCAACCCTCATCTAATCGATTTGCTAGCCCTACATCATCTCGCCCTTCTCCGAATAATCTATATAACTTCGACACGCCTGTGCCTATAGCGCGTGGTACAATCTCCTCCCCTTTAGTCCGTCGCGACGACACGCCTGTACAATGCCTACCACATATACCATCTACAGCACACTCCTATACCGTCTCTACTTTTAAGGAAACGAAGATAATACCCGATGCTAGACGGTATAATTCGATGAAAGCGAGTCAAGAGAGGAGACGTGAAGACTCTTCCCAGGATTCGGATTCTTCTAGCGACTCAGATATCGAGGCGGATGTTAGTTCGCGGAAACGAACACGCGAACGCGAAATTCAAAATCGGTTATCTAGTGTCGACTTTCGTCAAAGGTCACTGCCTACTAGTTCAGACGTTGTAGAAGTTCCTTCAACATCCTCAAAGCTAGAGCGTCGGTTAAGCCGCGAAGAGGAGGGTTATATAGCACAATGCTCAGGATTGAATGCCCGGGACACGCAGGACACGCAATTTGTTACAGACTCCCAGAACCTCATTGGAAAGAATATTGAAAATCAAACATCTAGTGATGAGGATATCCCAGATACTGCTGTGGGAAATGACTTGCCTAATCCTTCACCGCCGAAAGATAGATCCCAGTTACTTCCTATCTTGCCCTTGCAAGAAGTGTCTGGAAATAGTGCAGTGGCTGGAAGTGGTCCAGTGTCTACAACACCAGCTCGCAAAAGAATTACCGACTGTGCGGATGCGGCTGCAAACAGCTCTACGGTCCCGGAAACTAGCCCTGCTCGCGAACCACGTCCACTAGGAGATATTGGCTTATCGTTTAGTGCTGACAGTGATGATCGAGACATAGAGCTAGGGAATATACCAGGATTCTCACAAGATATGGGATTTGAAGAAGCTCTAAATATACAGGCTTCACCAGAGCCTCCACAAGCCAGAAGGAAACGCGCCGGCAAAGCGAATGCCCATGGGTTGTCTACAGAGGTGCAGAGCAAATTTTCGGAAACAGCGGTACAAGAAACAAGCTCTACGAAAAGCGACGACTTACAGCATGATTCTTCCTGTAAGCCGGCCGCGACATTCCCGAGCATTCTGCCTCCAGCAGACCTTGTTCAAACCATTGTTCAAGATGCCGGCCCTCTAACATCGCCACCTCGGGTGGAAGTCGAGTCGCAAGCAGCTGTTATAACACAACGCGATGACGAAGCTTCCTCAAAGCCTCCGTTGACTGAGTCTGAGTCCGACTTAGGGCAAACGATACCCAAAATATCCGTCGAAAAGATCAATGCTCATTCGAACGATCCACGGACCCCTATTCAGAGAATCGGCACCCCTGTTAGTGCGATTGAAAGCACCGCTTCATCTTTACTTTCTCCTGCACCAGAAAGTAGTGCGCCAACACCACAATCAGATGAGCTTTCCTCCACACGACATCGAAAGCCTAGCATCAAGGCGGCAAAATCCACGAAGCCAATCACTTACAAGAGTAGTAACTCCACGAGAACAAGATCAACTAAAGGGATTAAAAAACTAGTCAATGAAGAACCAACTCGCTCCTCGAAAAGGAAAGCACTACGTGGTAATAGGGAAGATAGTGTTGATCATTTAGCTATGTCTCCTGGATCAGCAAGAACTCGCGACTCTTCCTCAAAACTCTTTACTGGAATGGCCTTCGCAGTCTCATACGAAGACCCGGAAGAAAAGGCCACAATCGTCAAAAGTATTAACGAGTACGGTGGAAATTTACTCGATGGCTTTGAAGATCTATTTGAATCGGGTCCAAAGCCAAAACAGGTAATTGAGCCTACCTTGACTGTTGTGAAGAAACACCAGCAATCGCTTGGCTTTACGGTTGTGATCGCCAATGAGCATTCGAGAAAACCAAAGTATATGCAAGCACTTGCTTTAGGGCTGCCATGCTTGTCTGGTCATTGGATTCTGTCGTGCGTTTGTAAAGGTGCCATTATGGACTGGAAGCCATACCTGCTAAGTGCTGGATCTTCGATACTTCTTGGTAATGCCTCGTTGAGTCGCCACTTGACTTCTTACCCGATTGCCACTGAATCAAGCCTTGTTGCGTGCGTCGAAGAAAGAACAAAGATATTTGCTGGGATGTCAGTCTTGGCTGTTGGCTCCCATGGAGCCATCGATGAAAAGTTAAGAACTTTGTCATTCTTATGCTGGGTGGCTGGGCCTAGCAGATTTTGTCAGATTGCTTCATTTGACGAGGCACGGAAAAAACTACTGGACGATGAAGCTCGTGGGATCAAATGGGATTTGGTGTTCTGTGATGCGACACACAAAGCTGTCGAATCAGCGATATTTTCGAACAACGGTCGCAAACGGAAGCGTCCGTCGTCTACGGTACAAGCTGCACCGAAAAAGGTGCGAATTATTGATAAAGAAGATCTTCTGCAAAGTCTTATCATAGGACAGTTGGTGGAAGAGTAAAAAGCCGTGTTTTGTTCGCCAGGTCCGGTTCATGGAAAAGTGTTGTGTAGATATGGGGTTCGCTAATGATAATTGCTCACGCATTTGCCCGGCGCGGTCGGTGGGGATTTGGAATGGAGTTATATGATACCATTTGCTTATTGAGATGGCTAGCTAGCAAAGCGTGGATGGGAAAAGTGTATATAGTGTTGGCAGTCAAGAGATGCTATTTGCATGTTGTTGCTGGCTCCTGAAGAAAGCAAGAACAATTTCTACAACTGATGGAGATTCCATTTTCAAATGTCTTACGAACAAACCAACAGCAAATGTATATCCTAAACATCGCCCTTTTTTCAAAGGAGGTACTTCGCCGCATGTACCTTTACGAAGGATCCCATTTCCTGCTCAGGTTACCTAACGTGGAAGGTACCTGTAGCTAGCGAATACGCATCGCATGTACGAAGGAATAAGCGCATCCTTTGTTCGGGCTTGAGTGTTAACGTTGCGACTTAGGTTGCGAGTGAGGTTGCGAGTGAGGGGACGACTTAGGGTACTCGGTGTGATCGACGTGGTTGTTTTGGGTTAGGTGGGAGGAGGATGGGGAGGATGAATTAGAAGGGGGAGATTAGCTAACATCACGTTATGCTGCAGCGTGCGTACATGTACGAGGGTGTGAAGGATATTAACCTTAGTCATGGATGGTACTGCCCTGTTCCTTTGGAATTGTGAGTTAAATAGGGGATTGCAAGTTGGAAAGGGGAAATGGGTGTATATTGGAAAGACCGAAAAAAGGAGAGGTGGTAACCCGTAGACCTCTCGCATATCACCACTCCCCTCCCCCCAACCCCAAAATGAAGAAACAAACATCGTGTCCGTTTAACGGTCACATAAACCTCTCAAAACACTCTCTCATCCCAACATACCGCCTTCCTAAAGCGTGATTGGATACATAGCCCTAAACCGAAACGGCTTGTCGGTCGTCGCTTAGCCTAGGGGGACCGTTTCAAGAAATAAGCGAGCGTGGTGTTTGGTCTGGAAGGAACTAGGTTCGTATTCCAGCGGGAAAGCACGTGGTGGCCTGAAGTTGCTCGACCGTTACGCGCGATAAGGGTGCCCCGCGTTGGATAAGAGGGCCTGGTGGTGATCGATTTGGTGGTCGAGAGAAGGTTGCTTGAGGTGTGAGGTGTTGAAGACCAGACGTTTGGGTGACACTGTTTGTTACTGAAATAGATGGGTTAAACAAGGCCACAGTAACAAAAATTGTTACATTAATTCTATATCGAATACATCTTCGGATATACAATTCTTCTCCACTCCCGAAGTCACCCCAAGCTCCTCGATGCACGTCAGCGTACAACTAGCGTGGATAAATCACTTCTGCGCCGCTAAACTCCGACCCCAGGGCAGATCTTGGCCTCCCCCTCGTTAAGCGACCGACGCCCAAACACCACGTCGACAACCGTAACGACATTTCCGTCAGCTTCCTCCTTGACACACATCGGATGGAGATGTGATTCGAGAAACAGTGGTCGAGTTACACGGGTTGGGCGTTTGTATTGGGCAGTTTAGCCCGGCAAACCTCGGTCGTTCGTCTGATCCGTCGTCTCATGGTGGGAATGGAAAACCAAGCAACATACCACGCCAGAAGGATGGCTTCGCATGTTTGTACATTTCCTAGGCGAATTGGAGATACAGAGTAAGGAGGGCCATATGATATATAACACTCCATCTCTACCTTCCAAAATTCTCTTCTTTC